GAGCATTAGTGTAAAGGCACTTAAGGCCTCCTGTTGATGCATGCACCCCACCTGATTCCTAGGCCTGTCTGAGCCCTTGTCACTTACCTGGGTACCTCTTGTGCTCATCACCTGTCTTGGTTGGGAGGTGTCCTTGTGTCCTCCTGAGGCCCCATCCCCCAGCAAAGCTAATTTAAAGCACGCTGTACGAGATCAGCCATCCACTGCAATAAAGCAATACAAATTATTACTTCTTTCTGTTGCAACCATAAATTTGGGCATTTGTGGCGTGACAAAATGTATGGACATGTACTTGCTTTTGCTTTGTGTTGCTATCAAAATTGTTGTGGTGGCTCAAAGATGAGGAAAGGTGATGTCTGTTTCCACCTGGAGTCTCGGTTGTTTATAATTCATGTATAATAATTTTTCTTTTTCTGCTTACCTAATAAGTTCTTTCATTAGGAAGTGAAATGGGACACATTCTCCTCCGGCTGTGGAGAATTTGGGAATTACTTCTGTGAAACCTGAGCTAAATATTAGCACAGGGATAGGCAACCCCCGGCATGCGTGCCAGTTAGTGGCATGCGGAGACGTTTTCCTCGGCATGCTGAGAGGTGTGCAAGGAAAGTGTTTTAAAAAAAAAAAATGTTTTTTAAGTTGCTGCTCCGGGCTCCCTGGAGCAGCCACAGATCCTAGTGCCGTGGCAGGCACCAGGGTCTGTAACTCGGAACACAGGCAGGGATGCTGTCTGCATTCTGCTGACCCTGTCTCCTGTCTCCAGGCTATGCCCTCCAGCCCAGACCCTGGAGGGGAGCTGCAGGTGGGCAGGTACTGTAGAGGGGCATTGTGCTGGAGGCTCCTGGATGGGTTGGCCCTCAGCGCTGCCAAGGGGGCAGCTCCGCCCTGCTTACACTGCCCAGTGTTCAAGGAGGCTGAGCCTGGAGCCAGGAGTCCCCTGAGCTTGGCATCCTGCCCCAGCCAGGTGGCATCCCCTCATGGGCCGGGCAAGGCCCCACCTCAGGTGCCGCTGGGCACTCCTGCCCACCTGCTGTGGTTTGAGCCCGAGAAGCCCCAGGGCAGGCCTTGCTTCCGGCTGAGCCCCTGTTATCCTCCAGCTGCTGTTTTCCCAAGGGTGTGGCCCGGTCGGCCCACCCAGAGCACCTGGCCCCACACCTGCTTCTCCCTGCATTGCTTGGACCCTGCCCCAAGCACTCAGCCCCAGGTCCTGGCTTCACCCACCTGCAGTCCCCTCTCAGGGCCAGGGCCCAGGCAGGTGCTGTGGAGGGTCACTGGGCTGAAGGCTCCCGACTGGCTTGGCCCCAAGTGCTTCCCATAGCAGCTGTTCCCAGGGCCAAGGGGACTCTTGCTGCCGGGCCCTTGCCCTGCTCATGCTGTGCCCAATGCACAGGAAGGCCAAGCCTGGAGCCAGAAGTCCCCTGAGCCTGGCATCCTGCCCTGGCCAGGTGGCATCCCCTCGTGGGCAGAGCAGTAGCAGCCCATCTCCATGGAGCTGCGTGGGCTCGGGTGCCACTGGGTGCCCTTGCCTGCCCACCATGGCCCGAGTCTGCGGAGCCTCAGGGCAGCCTCTGCTTCCTGCCTGGTCCCCGCTCTCCTCTGGCTGCCACCTTCCCAAGGGCCCAGCCAGGCCAGCCCTCTTGCAGTGCCTCACCCTGCGCCTGCTTCTCCCCACCCTGCCCTTAGCACTCAGCCCTGCTGCTTAGCTGTCCAGTGCTACCCCTGCCCAGATGGGATGGGCAGGGGTAGCACTGGGGCATATCATCTTTTCCTGTCTGCTTGTTCCCCAGCCGGGCCCTCTCTCCCAGCCCTTGGCCCAGGCTCCCCCTGTTCCGGGACCACTGGGGAGGCCTGAGTGCCCTGGCCCTGGCAGCTGTTGCTGGAGTGTTGTTGCCTCCCTCTGCCAGACATTGTCCTGGACCACTGGGCCCAAGCCACAGCTGGTAGCAGTGGGAGATGTGGGCAGTGAGGAACACACTCTCTTTCTCTCTCTACTTTTTTTCCTCTTCTTTCTTATTCTCGCTCTCCTTTTTTCTCTCTTTTTTTTCTCTCTCTCTCTCATCACAACATGCTTAACAAAAAAGAATACACAAGAACAAAGGAAGTAATTTTATTTATTGTCATCAGGTTTAGAATTTTTAGAAAACTTGGTATTTACTGTAACCCCCTCCCAATATTTATGATTATTAACTATATTAATATGTACTGTGTCCTGCCACGTACCCCCCCTACCCCAATTTTGTTTTTCTGACATTATGGCACCTTACAAGGTAGACATTGTGGGGTTTTTGGCACTCCGACTAAACTTTGCCAACCCCGACTTAGCATCTGAAAATGCTTAATGGAATCTTTGCCACTTTCAACAACATTTTCTGAAAAAATTAATTTTCAGAAGTAGTTAATTTCAGTGAAGTTTCAGGAATTGTCTTTAATCCTGTGAAGAAACCAAAGGTCATGATTGCAATATGCAAATTATCTAAAGGAATGTTGAATGGAATTTTGTCCTAAGAGAAAAGTTGTTTATTCCTCCAAGACACCAGGACAATAAAATTGTATTACTCTGAAAGTGATATACATGCTTATGAAAGAAGCTGAAAAGATGTCTTAGAAGACTATAGCTGTCTCTCCAATGAACGACACAGCAGAAATAGCTGCTGTGCTCATGTTGCTCTGGTGAGGGGACTGCAGGTCCCTGACCACCTGGGCAACAGTGATCATCACCTGCTGGATTTCACTATCCAACGCAGGGCGTCAAGGGCTTACACCAAGGCGAAAGCCCTTGACTTCAGAAGGGCCTACTTCAATGAGCTTAGGAGACTAGTGGGGGAGGCACTGAGGGCCCAGAAGGTAGAGGAGATGGGAGTCCACGAGGGATGGTCGTACCTTAAGGGAGAGATCCTCCAGGCCCAAAGGATAACAGTCTCTGAGAGAAGCAAGGGAAGTAAGAGTGCTCAGAAACCCCTTGGCTTAGCAAGGGCATTCAGGAATGCATGCGGACTAAAAGGGGGGCGTACAACCAGTGG